ATGGTACAATGGATGCTAGCACCCTCTTTCACCTCAAACACCTTCAAAACCTTGATCTTTCGGATAATCACTTCAATCACTCTCAAATCCCATCCAGAATTGGTGAGGTTTCACAGTTAAGGTATCTGAACCTTTCTCTATCTGAATTTTTGTGGTGAAATCCCACAACAAGTTTCACATTTGTGTAAGTTGTTGTCTCTTGATCTATGCAGTGCATTTTATTCTCCAGATGTACTCAACCTTTTGAGTTTCAAAATAACCTCTCTAACAAGCTTAATTCAAAACTCAACTAATCTTAAAGTACTCCGTCTTGATTATGTGACCATTTCCTCGTCTGTACCTAATATTTTCACAAATATTACATCTTTCCAACAACTATCTCTTTACCATTGTGAACTATATGGAGAATTTCCAGCTGAAATATTCCATCTTCCAAACTTGAAAATTCTGGATCTGGGACATAACCAAAACCTCACTGGTAAATTTCCTGATTTTCATTCAAGTGCAAAAATAATGGGGTTACAAGTCGCTTACACTAGTTTCTATGGCACACTGCCTGCTTCCATTGGAAATCTCAAGTCTTTGAATACGTTCTCAATTTCATCTAGCAATTTTTCAGGGTCCATTCCTTCTTCATTCAGAAATCTCACTGAGCTTACATTTCTAAATATTGAATACAACAACTTCAAGGGTTGTCTTTCTTCATTCTTGGTAAATCTTACCAAATTACAGACCGTGAGAGTTGGTTATAATGAATTTACTACTGACACCATCTCATGGATTTGTAAGCTCTCAGAAATAATTGATTTGGAACTAGGCTTGATAAATATTGGCAACGAGATTCCATTTTGTTTTGCAAATTTCACCCAACTATCTATATTATCCCTATCTCACAGCAATTTAAGCGGACAAATTCCATCTTGGATAATGAACCTAACTAATTTAGCTTACATGGATCTTATAGAAAATAATCTTCAGGGTGAAGTTCCAAACTCTCTCTTCAAACTTGAGAACCTAGAAATTCTTTATCTTACCAATAATTTGTTGGAGGGAGAATTAGAGCTTGACAAGTTTCTAATGCTCAAAATGCTAAATTTGGTTGGATTATCTTCAAATAAATTGTCAATAATCAGTGGAAAAAAACCATCGAATGCAAGCCTTTCTCGAATTCAAGTGTTAGGTTTGGGTTCATGCAATTTGAATGAGTTTCCACATTTGCTCCAGGACTTGACTGAGCTGTCATCCCTTTACATGCCAGAAAATAATATCAATTCATTCCCCAGTTGGATGTGGAGAAAAACAAGTCTTCAGAGGTTAGGTGTTGCATACAACTCATTGATAGGAAAAATATCCCCACTGATATGCAATTTGAAATCTCTTGTACAACTTGATTTATCATTTAACAACTTAACTGGCATAGTTCCCTCGTGTTTGGGAAGTTCGATCCAATCTCTACAAACTGTATTGCTGAATGGAAACAAATTGACTGGCCCCATTCCTCAAACATATATGACAACAAGTGATCTGAGAATGATAGATTTAAGCAATAACAATCTGCAAGGTCAACTGCCAAGAGCATTGGTCAATTGTAGAATGCTAGAGGTTATTGATGTCAGCCATAATCAAATCAATGATTCATTTCCTTGTTGGTTGGGAACACTTCCTTAGTTGAAGTTATTGCTTTAAGTGATAATCATTTGTATGGATCTATAGAGTGCCCCGGAACATTCACATTTCCCAAACTGCACATCATTAATCTTTCTCGCAATCAGTTCTCTGGAATTTTGCCTGCAAAAACAATTCAGAATTGGAAATCCATGAAATCCTTCAATAAGAGTCAATTACAGTATGAGAATTATAAGTTCCTTAATTTGTTGGGAAGGTTCGGTTGGGATTATGATGATAATAGTTATTCATTTACATTGCTTAACAAAGGGACGGTCCTGGTTTATCAACACCTCCAAGATTTTTACTACTTGATAGCCATTGATCTTTCAAGTAATAAATTCTGTGGGGAGATTCCAGATGTTATGGGAGACTTAACAGGCCTTGTTTTGCTCAACCTTTCCAACAACATGCTCAGTGGCAACATTCCTTCTTCCTTAGGGAACCTTTCAAACATTGAAGGATTGGACCTCTCTCTCAATAATTTATCAGGAAAAATTCCCCTACATTGACAGAACTAACCTTTCTGTCATACTTAAATGTGTCCTTTAACAACCTCTCAGGTCCTATACCACAAACTAAGCAGTTTGCAACATTCGATGGTAGTTCATTTGAGGGTAACCAAGGACTGTGTGGGAATCAATTATTAAAGAAATGTGAGGATCATGGAGGGTCACCATTTTCTCCACCTTCAGCCTCTAATGATGATCAAGATTCGGGCTTTATTGGTGAATTTGAGTGGAAAGTGGCTCTGATTGGGTATGGCAGTGGACTTATTGCAGGAGTGGCGTTAGGAAGAGCTTTCGGACAGGAAGTACTTCTATGGCTTAAAAGGCTCGTTTGAGTTGATTGGTATATAGGGAAGAAGAATTCGCATTTCTTTGAGAATCTAAGAGTGTGTTTAGTTTTCTGTTTGTGAAAAATAAAAGGTTTAAATATATTTTTAGTCTTTTAAATTGAAGATAAATTTATTTTTAGTCCTTAAAATTTAAAATTGCTGTTTTTAGTCCTTATAATTTTCAAAAATCTTGTTTTAGTCTCTTAGGTCACCAATAACATATTTAAAAGTGACTAATTAAGACAGTTATGAAATATCAATCAAATTTAATGTGATATTTTTACTAATAAAAATACTAATAGGTAGATTTTATACAATAATGTTTGATAAATTTCTTAACAAAATTTGAATATAAGGACTAAAATAAGATTTTTTGAAATTACAAGGACTAAAAACAACAATTTTAAATTTGAGAGACCAAAAACAAATTTACCCTAAATTTGATGGACTAAAAACATATTTAAGCCTAAAAATTATTATTCTTGATTGAAAGTTCTCACATAATAAGAAGATAAAATTACGTTCAATTCGAAGCTTCCTTTCATATATTTCTTCATTTAATTATCTAAGAATGAATGCTACCAATCAAATGAACATACCTATCATCAATGTCAAAAAGCTTGTAAATATTTGTTTTATGCATAAAAGCTAGTAAGTATTTACATTGTATACATTGCTAGTAGAATAATTTTTTTAATCATTCTGGGAAAATAAAATTGCTTCATAATTTTGTATGTAAAATTAAGATTTTGTGATATGCATATTATACTTTAATTAGATTTGAAAATTTTAAAAAGTATAATTTAAAATAATAAAATAACACATATATGATTAACTTAAATAAATATCTAAGTTGAAAAAATATAAGTAACTTGTATAAGGAAAAGGTATAATTTGAAAATATTTGACATTTAAGAAAAAACAAAAAAAGTCTCGTATCCTCTCTATCTATCTATTAATCTCTCTCTATATATATATATAATTTTTAATATTTTAGATTAAAATATAAATAAATAAAAATAAACTTATATATCATAATATTTTTTTATTATAAATTTAAAATGTAATTTGTATATTAAAAATATTTATTATAAATTTTAATTATAATATATTTTATATATTTAAAATTATTTATTTATTCCAAGTTTTAAAAATACTAGTTAATATAGAAACTTCTTAATGTAAAAGAAAGTTTGAAAATAATTAATAATTTAAAAGTATAACAAAAAAAAAGAGTAAATAATGGTAAAAAAAATACGTATCAAATAGGAAATTAGGATTTGAATAAAATGTCCTTTTTTTTATTATGATAATATAGAATGTCTTGTTGTGAAAGAAAAAAAAATGAAAATAATTAATAATTTAAAATTTATAAAACGTGATGGTAAAGTGATGTTATAAAATGAAGATAGTAAAAAATAAGTTCATTCGAGGTAACCAAGGTAATCCATTATTCAAGAAGTGTGTTAGTGTGAGTATGATTAAGGGTCACCATTTGCTCCACCTTCTGCCTCTGATGATGATGATGATGATAGACTAGGATTTTTTTGTTGAATTTGAGTGGAAAGTGATACTGATTGGGTATGGGGGCATACTTCTTGTGGGAGTGGCGTTACGAAGCACTTTCATGTGTTTGTTGAGAAATGAGAAGGAAATAAGATAATTTTCAGAATATCACTTTCTTGTGGAAATCTCTTTCCTCTGTATTTGTGGTTTTCATTGTTATCATTTCTTTTAAGTTATTGTAATTGCAGAGTGCGCATTGTTACAATGTGTTTATGCAGCTTAGCTTCTGTCTTCTTTTTTTTGTTTGCTTCCGTGACTACATTGTACTTTTCCTCTATGTAGTTTGCTCTAATTCACAATTGAAATACAATGATAATTAATTACATGACACAAAAAGGTAATAGCTAGTGTTTAACTAAGTAGGTTGAGAAAATAATGTAAAAATCATGAATAAGCACTACAGAGCTTTCTGTCTGGGGTCAACTTTATCCTTGAATACTCCAGCCACTTGTAACATCTACTGCCACGGATACTATACGAAGTTCAATTTAACAATGTCTATTGGAAAAGTTATTCAACTACTAGTATTTCTAAAATTGAATAGCTAATCGACAGATGAGCCTGCTCAAGTTGCACATATTAAAAGAATACATATACACTACTGTTACAAAGTTTACACACATAAAAGCTAGTTTCAATGCTTAACCAGAACATGTACGCATGTATAGCAAACTAAATTGCAGTTTAGAAAAACAGTTACAATTCACCAAAAACGCGACTCACGGTAATAAGAAAAATTAACCATGTTGGGTTGCTGAGAAAATAATGAAGATATATTGTGCAAGCGCAGCAATAGTGCTCTCCATTCGAATGCTGAGCAAAATGGTTGCAGAAAATTATTCAGCTGCATAATGAAAGACATCCTAAAACTTTAACGTGATCCAAGACTCTCTCCTTCCCTTTTAATGTTTGATTTACTTGTTTATACAATATAATGAAAAGCATGTACCGATGCAATTTAAATATTTAATTGTTTACAATAGACCATGATTAAGGACTGCAGCAACCGCAATTAGCCCACATCAGCCTTCAACCACACTTGTGCAATAACAACCAAAACCACAATTTAAAACCTTTCTTGAAGCGTATCATGAGGGAATTACTTTCTGTTAAGCAGGAACTTGTTAACTATGATTTCCATGTACATATTCTGGCTGCTATCATGCCTGTTCTTTTAACAACTATCATTATTCTCTTGTCCAAAAATTGAAAGTAATTGAGATCAAGACAAATTAAGCGCAAAATCTACATAATCTAAGTTCAAAATATTGAGTGCAGGTCTCTTTCTTGCAACTCCAAGTTGTATCTATTGGGATCACAGACAAATGGGATATCACCAATGTTATCATAAAAGATTCCACCCAGTTCATCATCACTGGCTATTTGTGGTTGTTGATCCTTTGTGACTTCGCCATCACCTTCATCTCCAGATACAATTGAATTCTTTTCAACCAATTCTCTAAATAACGAAGAGCGGAGAAGAAGGCTAAGTGCAGTGGGAGAAGATGACTTATTGCTTGAGAATTGGTAAGTTTTGCTTCCAAAATTTCCAGGCCTTATAGGGGAACTCAGAGAATCTGGACTGAAAAAACTGCTGTAAAGGGCCAAAGACTTTGACTCTTCTGTTAGAGCATAGCTAGATGGGGATGACACCTTTTGAGACTCTAGTAGTACTGCATGTGATTCAAGTTTTGCTTCTGGGGTGCTTCCTCCCGAAGGCTTTAACCATTTTATGTAAGTGCTCAAATCAAAGTTTGTTACAGCATGAATCCCTCTGTACTCAATGGCTGCTATGTCATAAGCACGTGCAGCTTCCTCTTGGGTGCCTATGTTGGTTAACAAAATATGCTACTCAGATGCTAATTAATGAAAGAAGCATAACTATATCTTTGTTTTGAGTGTGTTTGTGACTAAACCGATGGCTTGTGGAGATTTAACTTACTGTAGGTTCCAAGGTAGAGATATTTGTTTCCAAATACCCTTCCTATCCTTGCTTCCCATCTACCATTGTGGTGGTGCCTGCAAAAAAATCACCACATTTTAGTGATTTATCTTCACAAGCAACAATTCATTAGTCAATTAGTGTCATAAAGTCTATTTGGATACAACTTTAGGAGAGCTTTTGAGAACTTCTCTACTAAAGATAAAGAGTTTTTTTTTTTTTTTTCAATAGAGAACCTCTGAAAAACTCTCAAGTTTTTTTCCAAACAGGCTTATATTCAACAGAGGTATCCACCTTGCAACCCCCCTATACTTTGATACACCTCTTGAAAAGCCACTGCTCTTTCTGCAAAATCAATTTCAAAATAACAAAAGTCAGAAAAGTCATTCTGATGGAGTGATCATGGAAGTGTACCAAAACCTGTATATATAATATCAAATTCTATACAACTTAATCTGCTGCAAATCAAACACTACTATTACTATCTCTTATGAAAAATGAAACTGCAGCTACATTCTTGCACCTTGTCAACGTGTCCAAGAGAACAAAATCACAAGTATTTACCTCCTTAAAGTGGCCAAATACTCCTCTTTGGTCATGGTCTGCATTATTTCTATCTCTTTCTCGTAATCTGATATCTGTTCAAATTATAAGAAGCATTAGATAAATCATCTGTCTCTAACCTAAAATGTATTTTGTTATTTCGTAGGTAATATATAATTACTATCATATCTTACCGGAAAATTGGTGAAAGTTGATGTTCCCCAATACTTAAGTGCAGCTAAATCATATGCTCTGGCAGCAGATTCCTCTTCATCATAAGCCCCTGCGATATTTGAAAGATAACTTCTTGTCATCTTATTCTTTAGTGATAGAATGATTAAACCAAAATCATGCTTTTCATAATTAGGCTACTCACCAAGATAAACTGTTAATTAATCCCAATTCCGGTTCAAGTTCCAAAATGAAAGGATGCACATCAAAACATGTTAGTATGTTTGCAAGGACAAGTGAATAAGAAAAGGTAGGCAATAGAGTCGTTGATGCTAAAACCAAAAAGTAGAAACTCTACCTTGCTTCCCTTTCTTCTTTTGTGTTATGTTCCAAGAGAGTTTGTCCCACAAATGAGCTTCAAATCGACCCGTCCATCTATGTCTGTTTACAGTTTAGTTTTGATTAGCAAATAAAACATAAGCCTAAAGTAGTTAGCTAGCGCTCAAGGTCTATTTGAAACTATAGAACAAAGAAACTCCTTCTTATATAACCTGCTAACACCACGAAATTTTGAGCTTCTCTTTGTAGTGCTTATAGTAGAATTTTCACCAACTTCTTGTGTTAGCTTCTGCTGGTGTTTATCATTACCACTGGTTGCTGCTGCTGCAGCAACCTCTCTTCGCCGTCTCTTGACACAACGTGTTGCTTGTAACTCACCTTCTGGCATGGACATTTGGCTCCTCCCAAGACTCACTTCAATATTCTCTTTCATCATTGCCATTTCTTGTATTATGATGTTCTAAATGTTTGGTATAGATTCTTCTTTTCTTTTCCTTCTCAACTGGACTTAGCTTGATGCAGTGTGTGTGAGGAGGATATGTGTTGTTCTTATAATTTGCATGGTTGATTTGGCCTTATTATGTTTTTGTATTCATTGTAAGCTACAAGATTGAAGTTACAAACAAGGAGGGCGATAATTACGGGAAATTAGAGGACAGGTTTGTGTTGTCCTATTGCCAGCTCAAAGTTCACGAGTCTTAAATTTGCTTCTTGAGAATTCTAATTTCTAACCTCCCCATGTACATTGATATACTATAATAAGAACTCCTCTTCCGAAATGATAGTGATGTACAAAAATTTCAAATTCACAATCACATTTTCATTGGTAGTAGGACTCATACGAACTAAACTTTAAGAAGAGACATTGATATACTATGATAAAATAAGTGTGAAGTGTGTGAACATAGTTTGTTAGCAACCTTCGGGTTGGTTATAATCATTCACTTTTGTAGTTACCGCGATAAATGCAAAGCAGGTCAATATACTTTAAGCTTTCACAAACCAAATTTTCTTAATATATTTATTCAGTTTTGACCAGGATTACCAAATAGTAGCGTTAGGTTGACAAATTGCTGCCATAATGGGGGTTTGTTCCTGTAAGGAAACCAATATCCCATCAAGCTGGTGAATTGAAGTTGTTTGTCTTTGTTTGCTCTTGCATTATTTTTCTTTGACAATCCTAATTCGTTTGTAACCAACATTTTACAATTAACTTGAAATTATGAATTCCAGTCTTAAAATAATGATGATGAAAATAAGCACCTGTGATGCTTATGACTGGTAATAACTTAATTACCCATGCCCTTAATTACCTTCACCAAAATAATTACCTTTATTAGTTTTAAATTTTATTTTATTTTTTATAATTGAAGTTCAAATTAAAATCTAATTATTTTGGGGATTTTAATTATTGTAAAAAAAATTGTCATAGTAGTTGAAATTTTGTTTGGACCATTTGCAAAATTGATTATGAAATAATATGATTAATGTTTTGATATTTTTATTCTAAAATCAATTCAGTAGTAAAATTTAGTATAATATAAAAGTTTAAATAAAATCTTAATTATTATTTCAACCTAATTCTAAATTATCTGATGTGAATAAAGAAATGCAACTAATGTATATTCTTGGACAAGGAAAAATAGTCCTTAAAGTGATAATAGTGCATGCTTGGTAGCATGGTGAGTTGAACTCAAGTAACTTTCTCAAACAACAAAGACTTTTGTTAATGAATTTTACCATAATTTTGCATACATCATGATTTTCTTTACCACCCCAATTCAAAGAAAGTATACAGAAGCCAAACAATTTTGTAATTAAGCATTGCAAGTTTGACTTGTCGCTGACATACATGATACTAGATCCAGAATGTTTTCTTCAATTTTGTTGTGACTTGTGAGCAATACAGCTTAAAGGAAAACGAAAGGTGGACTGTTGTTTAACAATAAAAGACAACATGAATACTTGAATAGAAAGGTTTATGCTTTTGTGCATTATAGTATTTTCCTTGGATTCATCACTGTCCAGTTGGAATCTTTCTTGGTGCAGGAAGAATTTGCTTACCCCACGGTATCTAAAATTTACGGGGTTTCCAATGACAAAAACCTCATATAATGTTCATTTACCTTGTCGCTATTAATTTATTTAATGAGTTGTTGGTATACAATTCATTATATTATTATCAAATAGTGTATTACTATATTATTTAATTAGTTTTATAATTTATTAAAATGCTATATTTCTTAAATAATATAAATATACAATAATACATTATTAAACATATACATTTAATTTATTATACTGGTAAAATATATAAATTAAATTCTACTTGTTGAGAGTTGAAAACTTGCCAACTTTATATATGTCTTTTATTTGCATTTAGGTTGATGTTACGGACTAGTTTATTACACAACAACAAAAATTATTTTTAACGACAATTGTTTAATAGCAATAATTTAATTGCCGCTATTTAATTATATAATAAAAATATTAATGACTAATATATAATAGCCACTAAAAGTGTATTTATATTACATTAAAGTTTACTATTAGCGACAATTATTTATTGAAAAAAACTAGTCTCACATCGATTAGAGATAAGATAATTAAATAGTATATAAGTGAGTAATAACTATCACCTTATAAGTTGATTTATAGGATTGAGTTAGACTCTTAATTCACCATAATAAATTAATATCAAATCACTCACTATTACCAAATGCAATAGTGCTATAAAACAATTAGAGAACAACTTTCACCTTATAAATCTCACATCTCTTAAGAGATAAAACAATTAAAAAAATATATAAATAGAAGACAACCCTCATCTTACAAATCTCACATCGACTAGAGATAAAAAAAAAGAGTATATAAGTTATGAATTTAGAAAAGAAAATTATAAGAATAAATTATTTAAAGTTTTACTAGCAAAAGATAAAAGTCACTAAATGGATGGAAAGGAGACAATTGAAAAAATAACTTTTAATAGCCTTTAAAATGACTACTAAAATTGCCACTAAAAAAAATAAGTTTTCCCGACAATTTAGTAGGTCTTTACCAGCATTTTATATAAATGCCGGTAATAATATTAGCGACACTGGATATACCAGCCATTATCTAAATGCTGGTAAAAAAAAATAATGACCATTTATATGATCGCTAAAGAATAAATTAATTGTCACAAAAACCTAATTTTGGTGTAGTGTTAATTAAGCAAGCAAAAGCAAATTAGTGTATAAATGAAGAATATTTTAATTATACAGATATATATCCTGGATGTGACAATATATACCATTGTCCTCCTATAAAAGAAAATTAAAGAGTTTGTGGTTCATCTCTAATTTTTGTGGTTTTGATCTGTGTATATTATTCGAAGAAAGCCAACATGTCGATTTAATGTTTTATTAGCTTTTGCGTGATTATTTTAAGATTTAACATGCCATTTGATGAAAGTGAGTGACAATGATATAGTCTTCCTCACATACAAATAGTTGAAATTTCGAATAATATAACCGAAAATAATGGCTTTCCGACTTTATAAGAAAGCTGAAATTTTACGTTTGCTTGCAATAAAAAGACATAATCAGTACACTTGATGGGGGATATGAGGGATTAAGTTTGGTAAATTATAAATCTTGAACACATAGAATTAAGGAAGTCTCTAGAGGTATTCGAAAGAACATTGCTACTGTGGTTAATGTTTGCAACTTGCATGTGTCGAAGTTTTTGAAATTTTCAAACTACTGTATTTCCTTTTAAATATTTGTTACGAAATGACTATGACCATAACTAACTCTCACATACCAGTTATTTTGGTTCGATTAGCTATAAGTCAAAATTAACAAATGAGAAGAAGTTAAATTAAGGTTTTGTTAAAAAAATTTAATCTCTCTATATTACAAGAGTTATATTAAGTTTTAATGTTTGGAAAACTATTTATAAAATAAAATCAGCGAAAGATTAAACCTTTAAGATGTTAATATGTAAAAGGAATAAAATTTAATTGTAATTAAATTGAAATTATTCTAGACCAACATATGAGGTCCAAATCCTTTGAGTGGCAGGTCAACCCAAAAGCTAATTAACCGATGGCCTATTGTTCTTGCACAATAACTTCTGAGCAAACACATCAAGTGATATATATATATATATATATATATATATATCAAAATGA